AGTTAGCATAATGGCTATGTCACTGGACTCCCACATAGTCGACTGCAGTTCGCGTCCCGGACCCGGTGGCTTAAAACTCACGCCGGGCACGTGTACGTGCGTGCCCAAGATCCCGAGAGGAGAATGGAGGAGAAGGGATTGCGGCGTGACCATCCCCCCTGGGGGGGGGGGGGTTTCTCACTGTTTGTAACTTTCTGTCTCTATGTCTCTCTCTGTCTGTCTGGCGAGCGCACGCGCCCTATAGCAAAAACCTCTCCAAAAAAAAAAAAAATACACACCAGAGGGGACCGGCAAGTGGCACTGGACACTCCCACATGGCCGACCATGGTTCGAGTCCCGGACCTGGTGGCTTGCTTTCTCACTTTCCTCTCTCTCTCTCTCTCTCTCTCTCTCTCTGTGTGTGTGTCTCTCTGGTCAAAATTAAAATAAATGAATGCATGAATAAATGAAATTGAATAAAATAATTTAAAAAAACAGTCAGCGACCATAGTTTAAACACACACAGACACACACACACCAGGCATATGTGCATGCCTGCCCCAGATCCTGACAGGATGGAGAAATAAAGCACAAGGGATTGTGGCGCACATCCCATAGGGGATGCTTTCTTCCCCTCCCTCTGTCTAGCGAGTGCATGTGCGCTCTGGCAATAAAACTAAATGAACATATACATATATATGCTTTTATATATATATATACACACACATACACACATATATATATAAGTATATGCTTATATATATATATAAGCATATACTTATATATATATACACGTACATATACATGTATAGTAGGTTATTAGGTTTTCACTTTATTTTCAGTTTAACCAGCTTATAGATGACTGTTGCAACAACTACTCAAGGCCAATAAATTAATATGGAAATGTAGGTGGTTATTACTTTTTTTCCCCCTAATTTGCTATAAGGTGCATGCAGTCACCAGAGAGACAAATAAAGAGAGGAAAAGTGAAAAAGCAAAAGCACCTCCCACGGGGGATGGCTATGCCACGATCCCTCCTCTTCTACTCTTCTCTCAGGATTCTGGGCATGCACACACATGTGCCCCTTGTGTTTTTCAATCTGCCAGGACTGTACAGCCAGCCATGTGGGAGCTAACCACCTTAACCACCCCTCAATGGGCTTGGCACCCAAGGTTATTTTTTTTATCACTTACCATTTCAGAGCAAAGCTTCCCAAATTCTTGTAAGAACTCCTCTGTTTTCATCTCTCCTCTCATAAATCTCATCCAGGGCCCACTTTCACCACCTGTGATCAAGGCTTTCAAAATAGTTCCAGAAGGAATGTGATTCTGTACCTCCCATTCTACAAGAAGTAAAACAAGCAAAAGTGAAATACTTTGTCAGCTTGCTGGGCTTCGTGGAGCTCAGGGGAATCACCAGACCAGTCCTATGGCAGCACCATGGTGCAAGGGTGGCCACTACTGAGAATCTGGAGAAATTCAGGAGCCACAAGATCTCAAGCTCAGAGCTCCTAAGGAAGCGTGAAACCAATGTTGGGATAGAAAGCACAATGCTGTCAGGCATCAGGGCCTTTCCACTTGCTTGAGAAAACTGGACACTGCAAGACGAGTGCTCTTTCTTGGTCTCTCATTAGCTGGATTATATTCTTTAGGTCATTTCCATGTTCCTGCCACACACTGAGGAAATGTACGAAGGAATAATCCAGATCCTGACAGGATCCCCAAACAAGCGCTTCATAAGCTATAGCAATTAAAAAAAATTGTTATAAGGTGCGTAAGCTCTCCAGAGAGAACTAGAGAGAGAGAAAGAGAGAAAGCCCCCCTCTGGGGTAGGGGGGTGATCATGCCACAATCTCTTCTCCTCTGTTATCCATCTGGGATCTTAGGCACGCATGCACACACGCCCAGCATGTTTTCTAAGCCACTGGGCCTGGGACTTGAACTACTGTGGGATCCATCTTAATCACCATGCCACTGGCTGGCCCTTATAGTAGTCTTTATGGAAGTATAACTTGTGTGACAATGACATGGAGGATGCTGTCTTGTGGAATAAAGAACATTTCTACCCACAAAGAGCTAAGACAATGGATGGATCATATAAATGGAATAATTTGTGTAATGCTAGGAACATTTGGACAAGGGATTTGTACAAAGTTGTTTTTTCTTTCTATAATATAGCTGCTAGGGGCAAATACACACATATCAATAATTACACATCTAAGGCATGATATACTTTATACATACTTTTTGTTTTGAAATGAAAATTCTTTTTTTTTCTGATAAGAGTTCCTGGGGACCAGTAGTTGGCGTAACGGCTATGTTGCTGGACTCCCATGTAGTCGACCATGGTTCAAGTCCCAGACCCCGTGGCTTAAATTCACACCAGGCATGTGTGCATGTGTGCCCAAGATCCTGAGAGGAGAATGGAGGAGAAGGGATTGCAGTGTGGCCATCACCCCTGGGGGGTGATGTCTCACTTTCTGTCTCTCTTTCTCTGTCTTTCTGGTGAGTGCATGCGCCCTATAGCAAAAAAGTCTCCAAAATAATAATAATAATAATTAAATAAATACTCAAATTGGAAAAACTAAACCAGAACATTTTCATGAACTTTAAAGAGTTTCTTCATCAAGACTCAAAAAGTTAAAGAAAGAAAATATGTGCAAGCAATATAATAGAGAAATGTTATTACTGCCAATCAACAAGAAAAATGAGCAGCTCCAAAAAAAAGAAAACTGAATGGACAACAAATATTTTCAAAAACAGAAGGGAAAGAAGTAAAAAACAGGGAGAGGCTGACACAAAGAGGATCAAAGAGGCTGAGGTTTGACCTTATAGGTCCAGAAGCAAGTTTAGAGAGGAGAAGGTAGAAGAGGATGACGTTGCTATCAAAAGGGAATATCCACATTTAAGATTTCAAAAGCAGTGGTGGCCAGTGGGTGGCATGGTGGTTAAGGTGCTGGACTCCCACATGGCCAACTAAGGTTCAAGTCCCAGACCTGGTGGCTTGCTTTTTCTCTCTCTCTCTGTCTCTCTCTGGTCAAATTAAAATAATTATAAATAAAATTAAATAAAATAATTTTTAAAATTATTTAACTTTATTTATTTATTTACTTATTTCAATTTGACCAGGCGGAGGGAGAGAGA